TTCTTGAGCTCCTCTCTTTCCATCTCTCTTTTATGGCTGGAGAACAGAATGAGAAGCCAGAAAGAGAAGGGCTGTGGGGTGTAGGGCAGGGCTGGAACTGGCAGGGAGAGTACCTGAGCAGATGCTGGCATCGTGTGCCTCCTACAGAACCGGAACTTGTAAGACTTCTTGGATTTCTGCACCAGGAGGTGGAGCCAGCCCCACTGAAGACCTGCACAGGGAATGACACATTTACTATCCAGCCCTTCACGGCCCCTCCGCTACCTGGAGATGTGACCCAGTGTTGGACAGTCAGTCATTTTAGATCAGGGAGGGTAATGATAGCAAACTTCTTTAGTCCTGAGTTATGATACAATCAAAAAAGCTTTTTCTCTTCTTAAGTAGAGAAAAACTATGTATGTACAAAGATGTTCACGGTAGCATTATTTATAACAGTGAACAATTAAAAACTGTCAATTCTTAAGCAGTGTGTGGGCATTTAGTATGCCCCAGGCACTGAGCTAGGCAATGAAAATGTAGAGTTGAAGAAGACAGATCTTACTTTACAGATAGAAGGTAAAAATAGTAAACTCATAGAACTAAAACATTTTAATCCCAAGAACTGGTACCAGCTGAAAGGAGAAACACCTTCACAAAACAATACAACTGAACTCACAAATATCAATCATGGTGTGCGCTATTTTAGGAGGGCCTAATTCTCTGCTGAGGTTGACAACAGGACAAACATCTCTTCTAGTAGGATAAGTTTTACTAGCGTCAGCCTAGGGGCCCCCCCAAATTCCCCCAATTCCAATCTCCACTAAGAATGGCCCAAAGGACTGTTTCTCATACCCGAAGGATCTGACACCAGATGCAGGCACCAACAGCAGGGACAGTGGCAGAGCCAAGCACGCCAAGGCTTTGGGGAGGGGGAAAAGGCCGATAGGGTATGGCGAGGAATCTGGGCAGACCTTCCTGTGAAAGACGAAAAGGAAATCAAATGGTAAGGTCCCAGGAGTTCCCTCCTGCCTCAGAAAAGTTGGACTTGAGGCTGAGCTCTGCCACTTAACATCCTGGCCGACTGACCTGGGGCAAGTTACAGACTCCTCTAAGTCTCAGCTTCATCATTCATAAAGTGGAGCTGCTGTCAAGATCAAGTAACATAATGTGTGGGAAAATGCCTTACAAAGTATAACAAAATGTACCATAAAACAGGAAGGATCATTGTTGTATTACTGACTGGCGAGGGACCAATTAAGGGAGAGTGCCTGGAGATTTACCTGGCTCTCATTTAATCCTCCCCACAGCTCAGGGACAACTGCTTTCATTGTATAATCATTTCCACCGTGCTGCTATACCCCTCAGAAACTGTGCACTGCCTGAAGCCATGCATGGAGTATGCGGCGGAATTACAACGCAAATCCAGGCTCACCTTGTGCTTTCTCTTTGATACTATGTTACTTCCCAGGTTGAGAACCAAAAATTAGAATGGAAGAATGGGGAAGAGGAGCAGGGCAGGGAATGAGACTCACCTGTGAAACCGTCATCCTGAAGGCACAGGGCCCAGTAGGGAAAAGAAAGGACAGAAGTATAATTAGTAGGTATTCCCACGAGGAGCATTCTCCCTGGGGTCTTTGCCTCACATCACCTAATTTCGAGGTCCGCAGAAGCCAACAGCCCATCCACTCTGGCTCTTTTCTTCCCAGCTCCACCCTGCCCAGGCCCTCAGTGCACCAGGACCTTGACTATCCCTTGAAGACGATGTAGACAACACACTGAGGCTGCCATCAGAGCTCAGGGACTTGGGTAGCAGGAAACGACAGGTGGAGAGTGGGGAGCTTTACCAGCCTGTGCCAGCCAGGTGTCTCCACCCAGCAGCAGCAGGCACACCTTACCATGTGGGAGGCCAGCAGACAGAGGGTGCTCCAGCTGGGAAGGTAGGGGCAGCCAATACCAGCAGAGGCAGACAGGCCAAGGAGCAGCTGGACGAGAGGCAGGAGCAGGGCTGCCAATCCGGGGCTCCCCATGGGCTTCCGAGGGGTCAGGGTATCCAGAACATGGCTGCACCTCCTGAAGGTGGGTGGCAGGGCCTTGCCGTGAAGCAGCAGGGAGTGCAGAGCCAGCAGGAGCCCTCGCCTCAGCCTGCCCCTGCCCCGCCCTGCTCCAAAGCTCCTCCTGAAGCCCAACCAGCCGGCCAGGCCACATTCCTTCTCCTCCAAGTGGAGGGACTGAAGGACACTTGCCCCCCAGAAAACCCTACTCCCCTACCCGGAGGGCAAGGGGGCTCCTGCTCTGGCAGAGAAATAACAGGCAAGAGGCCGGCACAGGGTCAGGGGGATGGATGGCGGCTGCACCCACTTCGTAACTCCTCCTACTCCTGCAACACCCTGCAGATCAGACCCGCCCCTTAGCGTGCTCCTGGCCTTGAATCTCCCCTGGACACGTGCTTCATCCTCTCACTTAGAAGACTGACAGAGCCATGAAGCACTTCTCTGCAGTGGGTGCTGGATACCGAGGTGACTGATGCACCACTTAGAGCTGGGCAGAACAAAAAAGCACTATAGGATGCACGTAAACCTCACAAGTCCCCCTGTGCATCCTGGCTCCCACCTGGCTGACTTTCAGGACTAGGGTCCAGCTTTCTCTCTCTACCCGTTGGCCAGTTCCAGCACTTCTGCCAAAGGGCCTCCAGCTTCAAGCATCCACTCATCAGTACAGTCTGCTCAGGAAGCCCCAGGTCTCATAGCTGAGCCCTGGAGCTGAGGGAGTGGGCCCCACGCATTGACCTGGTTTCCTGTGGTTTCCGACGCTGAGAAGGCTCCATCCTCTGCGGGGACCCTCCACGTCGTCCCATGGCTTCCTCCTGCTCATGGAGCATTTCAACTGCTTCAGCCCTCACCTTGGTGACACACACCGTAGAAGGCTTGGGGCACACCTACTGGGTGAAGTGATCTTGAGACTGTTATTATCCCTCTGCACTTTCAGTAGCTTGATCACACCTATCTTTAAGCCAATTCTAGTTCTTAAGTCTTCAGGTCCACTGTCTAAAGACCCCATTGTACCCATTATCCTAAAAATACCCTCTAGCTTTTGAGTTTCTTAGAAAGACCCTTTCTTATCTTTATGTTTTTCCAGTGCCTAGCAATGGATGTCGTGAAATAGGTGCTCTGTAGTTGAATAAATGTAAATTATTGATGTTTCATCTAAGCAGCAGTTTATCTATTTCACATTTCATAAGCACTTTCATATTTGATCCTCCCAACCACCTTACAAGACAGGTAAGTGAGAATTATTCATTTCATAAAGAGAGAAATAAGGAAGCAGAAAGGAGAATGATTCGGTCAAGGTCTCTAGCCCAAGGAGCTCCAATTCTGCCATCCTCTCACAGTTCATTTCTCTTTCTACCATCCTTATGGCCTCTCCTCCCACTGCCTCATCCCCCTCTGCTCCTGGGAACCCAAAAGGGCCTGCCTGACACAGTTCTGCCTTTTGACCTTGAAGTCCATCACTGCACACAAATCAGTAAGGTGTGAAGGGAGAAAAGGGTGGCCTGGCCATACTAAAGACAGGTTAGGGAGTCTTCCCCCTCAATTTCACCTAGCCCACAATGGTTTAGATCTATACCGATAATGTGTTTTCTAATGCCGGGGGCGTGAAGTGAGAAACGTGGCTCCATTCTAGAATACTTTTCTCTTTTGACTCTTTTTATCTTCTGATTTGATTCTCACAGTGAAAATATTTGGTTAACTGCTCCCTGACCCTGGCTAAGGTATGGTAGGAGAAGCAGAAAAGAAATAACAGACACATACACACATGAAATAAAGAACAGAAAGGGAAGAAAAGGACCACAAAGAAAAGGCAGAGGAAGAAAGAAGAAAGGGGGAAAGGAGAGAGAAAAGGAGGTCTGTATTTTATTGTTTTGCTAGTTTATTGTGGAGCCTGTTCCAAAAAGGATTTAAAGTAAAAAGCACAGTGGGTGAATTCCAGCACACCGTGGGGAAGGGGGAGGGGGTCAGATCACAATTTGCTGAACTCCTATTATCAGGCTCTGGGCTGTGTGCTTTGCCCACATTATCTCATATTATTGGTACTACAACCCTTGAGGTCAGTCTTACTAAACACCTTACAGACTTGGAAACACTGGGAAGATTAAGTAACTTGTCCAAACACAAAATGGAGAGCTGAGACTCACCCCCGTGTCTTTCTAGCTCTTTCTGTCAGAACACACTGCTTGGGGAGATCTGTGGTTTCTGGGCCCTGTAGTCCACAGAAGTACTAGATTGAGGGGACTTCCCTGGTGGTGCAGTGGATAAGACTCTGCACTCCCAATGCAGGGGGCGTGGGTTCAATCCCTGGTCCGGGAGCTAGATTCCCACGTGTATGCCGTAACTAAGAGTTCTCGTGCCACAACTAAGGAGCCTGCCTGTTGCAACTAAGACCCTGTGCAACCAAATAAATAAATATTTTTTTAAAAAAATAGATGTCATGAAGGGCTTTAAAAAAAAAAAGAAGCACTAGACGGAACGATGTGATGAGTTGGTAGGATTAACAACATGGGGGGGAGAAATTGTAATAGTTGGAAAGAAAAAAGGATAGTAGGTCTTACAGGAGTGAGTTATCAGTGATCAGATTTCTAGAACAGTAGGGATTGTTTGGCAAGTGTCAACAAGGGGGGAGTACTTCTGTGGCTGGAACAGGAGGGGGCCAACTGGAGTAAAGGCAACAGAGGTGTGTGGTAGGCCTGCAGCACAGAAGTCCTGTCCTTTTGGAAGGGGGCCAAGGCCTATCTCACCTGTGTTTTGTGTCTGAATGAGCTGATCCAGACTTCACTCTCCAATAACCTTTACGTGGGGAGCAAGCCAGGCGCTCAGGAGGTCTTGGCAGGCCCCTACGCGTGCTCAGGTAGAGAGTACACTGTGGGGTCCTTGGGCAGCCATTCTTCCTGACAAAGCCTTACTCATGCATGCACGCTGGTCAGACAATGCAGCAGCATCTCCAGGCTCTTCCTGTAATGCCAGATTCCCAAGGTCTGTTGGGGCAACTGTGCCAACTGTTTGGGCACCCTGGGCAAGAAGGTCCAACCAATTAGACCAACAAAAACCAAGAGTACACAAGTGTTCCTTTCTTATTCCTGCTCTTCCAGAAGGGATCAATCTCCAGAATATCGATGCAAGAAGTTATGCTTAAGAGAAGAGGAAGGGACCCCCAATCTGAGAGGGGAACACCAACACTGCTCATCAAGGGAAGGGATTTTGATATTTATTAAGCACCTACTATGTACTATACAGTTTATATACATAATTTTATTTAATCCTCACAACAACCCTGGGTGGTAGACGCTATGATCCCCATACGTTAGATAAAAACAGAGGCTCAAATATCTTGCTCAAGGCAAAAGGTAGCAAAATGCCTGGCTAGATTTCTAACCTGAGTCAGTGTAATATCAAAAACTGTTCTTTCCACTATACCACACTGCCTTTCCCGTAGACTAGATGCTCACTAAGGGTTCTTCCAAGGCCTACACCCTCTAGCTCTGTAAACATCAGTGATTAATAACCATTCCTCACATTTGTATAGTGTTAGGGTTCTTAAAGCACCTTCAAAAGATTTTACCTCACTTGATCTTCAAAACAATCCTGTGAATTTGGCAGGGCTGATCCTGGTACTTGAATTTGTCTTCTGATTCAAATACAGTGCTCTTCCCACTAAATCAAGATCCCTTTCAAAGGGGATCTTGTTTACTTCAGGGAATACTACAACCATGAGGCAGGGGGAAAAAATGATTGGAAAGCCCCCAAAGCAGAATCCCAACAAGCCAACAAACAGAAAACTAAAATGAACCAAATGGCTCTCTTTTCATGTTGACAGTAATTTTCAGAATGGGTCTTTTCTTTTTTAAATTTTATTTATTTTTTGCTGCGTTGGGTCTTTGTTGCTATGCGCAGGCTTTCTTTAGTTGTGGCGAGTGGGGACTACTCCTCGTTGTGGTGCTCAGGCTTCTCATTGCGGTGGCTACTCTTGTTGCAGAGCACGGGCTCTAGGCGCGTGGGTTTCAGTAGTTGTAGCATATGGGCTTAGTTGCTCTGTGGCATGTGGGATCATCCCAGACTAGGGATCGAACGCATGTCCCCTGAATTGGCAGGTGGATGCTCAACCACTGCACCACCAGCGAAGTCCCTTCATAATGGGTCTTGAAAAGCACTACAAGATGTAAAGTACCCATTCTAGTAATCAAATAAATTTTTTTTTTTTTTTTTTTTTTTTAAGTG